TCCACACAGTCAAAGGCTTTTGCATAGTTAATGAAGCAGAAGTAGATGTTTTTCTAGAACTCTCTGGCTTTCTCCATAATCCAGTGCATGTTAGCAATTTGGTCTCTAGTCCCTCTGCCCCTTCGAAATCCAGCTTGTACTTCTGGGAATTCTCGGTCCACATACCGCTGAAGCCTGCCTTATCAGATTTTGAGCCTAACCTTGCTAGCATGTGAAATCAATGCAATTGTACAGTAGTTAGAGCATTCTTGAGCACTGCCCTTCTTTGGGACTGGGATGTAGACTGATCTTTTCCAGTCCTCTGGCCACTGCTGAGTTTTCCAAACTTGCTGGCATACAGTATTGAGTGTAGCACCTTAACAGCGTCATCTTTTAAATAGTTCAACTGGAATTCCATCACCTCCACTGGCCTTGTTAGCCATGCTTTCTAAGGCCCACTTGACTTCAGTCTCTATGATGTCTGGCTTCAGGTCAGCAACCACACTATCTGGGTTGTCCGGATCTTTCTGGTACGATTCATCTGTGTATTCCTGCCACCTCTTCTTGATGTCTTCTGTTTCTGTTAGGTCCCTACCATTTTTGTCCTTTATCATGTCCATCTTTGCACAAAATGTTCCTTTAACATCCCCAATTTTCTTGAACAGATCTCTGTTTTTTTCCTTTCCATTATTTTCCTCTATTTCTTTGCACCATTCATTTAAGAAGGCCCTCTTGTCTCTCCTTGCTATTCTTTGGAAATCTGCATTCTATTGTTTTTGAGATTGTATCCCAGTACAGTTTTTCTCACTCTTTTGTTGACAATGAGGGATACTTCATTTCTTCTATGGGCTTCTTGCCCACAATAGTAGATATGAGAATTGTCTGAATTGAATTCACCCATTCCTGTCCATTTTAGTTCACTGACACCCAGGATGTCAATGTTTATTCTTGCCATCTCCTGTTTGATCACATCCAGCTTACCAAGGTTCATAGATCTTACATTCCAGGTCCTATGCAGTATTTTCTTTGCAGCATCAGACTTTTACCCTTCATGGACTGCCCCTTCACAGATTGCTGCCTTGTCGTGGCGAAGGGGGGTGAGTAATTCAGAGAAGCTATGGGCTCTGCCATGCAGTGACACCCAAGACGGACAGGTCATAGTGGAGAGTTCTGACTAAACACGATCCTCCTGGAGCAGGAACTGGTAAGCCACTCCAGTATCTTTGCCACAAACACTCCACAGGGATTAACTATGTGTTGTCTTATCAAGGAAGTATTCACTTCCCTCTGGTGACTTCTACAGCCATAATGGTCCCGGCACAGGTCCCGGCACTAGGATGGCTAGTGTTGAAAGACCTTGGAATTTTTGCTGGTGTGTGACATGACATCTCTGTGCTATTTATATGAGAAGCAAAATACCGGTGGGTTAGCCGCCACCACCCTGCCACTCCTTAATCTATGGCATCCAGAATCAATGCTTTGGCCGAATTTGTCAGTATCCTCAGTAGGTGACAGTAGCTAAGCCAGAGATTCAGAACATTCCTTCTCTTTTCATCTTATCCTTCTGATATTTTTACCATCCCATCTGCCCATAGATGGAAGTCTAGCCTGTTTTCTATCTACCCAGCAGTGCTTTTTCAAAAGCGACTACATTTTATGAAAAGCAGTGTTCTTTGTTATTCCGAATGTATTAATTGTGTGGTTTCTTTTACCAAGATGAGCCTCATGCATATTTTGTGCAGAATACTGATTCCACAATAATTTCTGCTGTCTGTTGCTTTGACTACAGCAGCTTTCTTTCCCAATCAATCCACAGAGAATAGGCTAATAGGAATGTCATGAAATTAAGCAAAAATTACTGAGCTGCTCCATTTTAGGAGAATGAAAATTTTAATTCTAAAATTTGGAGCAGGGTGTAATGTGGCTGGTGAGTTACTCCCTTAATCAGGAAGGACTTGAGGATTAGAGCAGATGACAAATTCTACACAAGAGAGGAGTGTGTGTGTGTGTGTGTGTGTGTGTGTGTGTGTCTGTGTTTTCAGAAAAACGCTGGCAAGGAATTTTGAAATAAATAAACACTGAGGTCACTGGGTACAACTCAGCTGACAGTCAAGAAGATGTACTTTTCTGTATGGGGAAGAGTAGAGAGAGAGGATCTCTTTAGGTTTCCTTTACTCACTGTGACTTGAGCCAACCTTTCTTCAACCTTAGATTGCTTATTCTTATTCTTCTCAACAGTCCCCACCCCCACCCCACAATGCCCATCCCAAACTATTTATGAGTCTTACACCCCATCTCCTGAAAAGGCTTTGTAGAGGTTGTGCAGATGCAATGGGCAACATTCCTTCCATGGACTGCCTCCTGGGAACTTATCTTATGATCCAAATTATTGCATCAAAGGCAAGCCAGGCCAATATAACTGGGAACACTCACATACAAAGTACAAGGCAAGTGTGCATTCTCTTTTAAATACATCTGGGTTCACTAGAGCAGGGATCCTCAACCCCCGGTCCACGGCCCGGTGCCAGTGTCCTCAACCCCCGGTCCCCGGCCCGGTGCCAGTCCGTGGGCTTCCTGGAACTGGGCCGTGGACACGGATCTCCACCCCCCCACCTGGTGGGCATGTCATGCTCAGGGGTGGGTGTGTCGCACTCACAGAGGTGCATGTCACACTTGTGGGTGGGTGTGTCATGCTCATGTGCCTCCACAAGCACAACACGCCTCCGTGAGCACAACACACCCCTCCATGAGCGTTACACACCCACCCGCAAGTGTGGGGGTGCCTCCACCCCCTGCGCACAGAGTCCGCACCCCCCAACCAATCCACAGTCCCAAAAAGGTTGGGGACCGCTGCACTAAAGCACATGGGGAAAGGCAGTTAACTTGCTGAAACATCCCTGTTAAAGTATACATGAGACATCAGTTGGTTGTATGTGTGTGTTATTAGGATCATGCCATTTGCTCATCAGCAAGTTTGCAGTGCAAAACTTTTGGAAGTGAAGGATAGGCTGGCTGTACACTGTTATCCAGGGGACTCCCAAGTGTACTCACAATGCTTCCCACTCTTTGGGGAGGCTACTTCTATGTCAAAGAATAATCAAGATAAATGGGGCTACTTGGATACAGGACAAATTTTATGTGACTGTGGAGAATTTCAGTCAATGCAGCACTTAAGTGCATGCAATTTAAGCCCCTTGATGAGTACAAAAGAGGATCTAGTAAATGGCCAAGATAACACTATTGAAATAGTGTTATCTTAGCCATTTACTTGTGTTAATAGCTTCTGAGCAAAAACAGTCTAATTATTTTAACATTTTAGTTTGTTTTTAATGTTTACCTATCTTTCACATATGTCCATACTGTTAAATTGTGCAATACTCTGATACGAAGGAAGGAAGGAAGGATCATGCTACATGGGAAAAGGAGGAAAACCCTCTCCATGCAAGCCAAAGCCACAGTCCTGCTCCCCCCACTTCCTCCTACTAGGGCTGCTATTTTAAAATGTAGAAATTAATATGATGACTGAATCCGTGCAATTACTGCCCTTTTTAGTTTTGCTCAAGAAAAATAATCAGCTGAACATGATATATGTTGCTAGGTGAGAGGAGACATTTCATGTCCACATGAGATGACAGGAAAACCAAAAGCTGGAGGAAAAACACATCAGGCCATGTTCTCCTTGGTGGAACCATACCACAACCCTTGATGAAGCAGGGGACAGGGGAGGTTAATCTATTTTTCAGTAGTTATCCTTTCCACCACTTCTTCCATGGAATTTTCTCTCCAGACAAATATGTTAAAGAGGAAAAGAAAGAACAGGTGCACATTTTGATTGCTGGGGCTAGGAGCCTAGCTGTTCTTAAAACAACTGCAGGTCCATAGATTTCATCAGAGTGGGTATGAGGATGGAGGAGGATCTATTGATCCCCTAACCCTGACCCCCTAACCCATGAGAGAGAGAGAGGGAGAGGGAGAGAGAGAGAGTCCTTATTTGACTTGCCATTCTGGCCATCTAGAAGCAGTAGCAATACATGTTAATTAAGAGCCAGTCAGTTAATCACATTGCACTTACCAGAATTGAGCAAGATGATGGATTTAAGGCACACAAATTCTTCCCCTCGGACATTCATCATTTGAAATCGAGAAGAAGTGGCCAACAACATATCAAAGATTTCGCCCAAACCCTCAACGCACCTTCCTTGATTCCTGCAAGAACAAATAAGAAACTGGCTATTATGCCTCTTGGTGGTTATCCCCACCACCACCAAGATGCTGTTAAAGTGCAGTTCCCATCAGGCCTATACAGCATAGCCAAATGGTGAGAGATGATGGGAGTTGTAATCCAGTAAAATCTAGAGAAACACAAGTAGTCCACCTCCAATGTGCAAGGTTAAAGTCCAAAAGTGCAGCTTAAATAGTCACTAAATGAAAATTGTCTTTGTCCCAAAGCCAGACAGCAAGACAGATAAGAAGTAACGAGCAGATCTCCTTCCTGTACATCTGCAATTCTTTGATGGATGAATCTTCTGGCAAGGATGAGATGGAGCCCCTCAGAGCCAACAAGGACAAGGATGTGTTGGATCTTGTGGACCCTGGACCATCTGAGATCCGAGAGGTCAAACTTGTTAATTACTGTATCAGAATGACCCTGGGGAGCTGAGGCAATTTGGATGTTGTAGTGTGAAGACACAAGCCTGGATGGATAGATTAAGTGCTTGGTTGCAGGGAAACACTGCTTGAGAGAAGAGTCTTCCTCAGAAAGTAGAAGGTCTCCTTGAAGGAAAGCTCTTCCTCCCAGAGAGACTATGTAGCTGCCCAAATCTTGCTGCCAGGCTTCCCTCCCAAATGGTCAAAGGCCTGCAGCTGAAATCAGGATGAGGCTCCAGTAGCTCAGCGATATAAATCCTAGCTTAGGACTGCGTTAGAGATAATACCTTTTCTAGTTCAGGCTCTTTATCTGTCACGTATTCTGACCCCTTTTTGCTAGCTCCTTGACTGTTTACAAGTCTTTGACTATGGTTTGAGGGGTTCTCCCTGGTCTGGCTTGATTTATGGAAGATTCTCAGACGGTGGCTTTAGATCTCTCTGCTTTGTGTCTGCATCTTTCATGAGCTCCTAGTCACTCAATTTCCTGCATTGCCTTGACTTGCTCATGACTACCTGAAGTCCTAGAAAACTGCAAATGTGCACAGACTGTTTTTAAATGAAGTATTGAATACAATATACAGAAACTGCAGGAAGTAACATGTATGGTAAATAAATATTAATAAATGCATGCTGTTAAGTCAATTCTAACTTATGGTGACCTTTTCTAGGATTTTCTAGTAGAGAATACACAGAAGCAGTTTACCATTGCCTTTGGGGGGGCAGCGTGCCTCTCCAACTCCCTCAAATGCCACACAGAAGGACAAGGGAATCCTATTGTTAAGGAAAAGCTATAATGAAGGAAGCTTTGGGGGGGGGGAATGGATGATGTGTCTCTGTTTCATACTCAGAGAGGCCTGGCCCGCCCACCCCAGCTTTCTTCCATTCAAGGCAATGGCTGAAATCCTGTTGTGCAACTGCAATTTTATTTATTTATTTATTTATTTATTAGATTTCTAACCCGCCCATCTAGACCAAAGGTCTACTCTGGGCAGTTTACAAATTTAAAAACAATAAAACCAATAAGCATATAGTATTATAAATCCAAGATGGCAAAAGTATAAGAAATTAAGATATGGCAGGAGGGAAAGCCTGCCCAAATAGCCAGGTCTTAAGTTTGTTCCTGAAAACACAAAGAGAGGGAGCCAGGCGGATTTCTACTGGCAAGTTGTTCCAGAAGCTAGGGGCCATTGCCAAGAAGATCCAGTTCCTCATTCTTTCCTTCTGGACCTCCTTCAGTTTTAGGCCCCTCAGCCGCCCAGCCTGAGTGAAACAAGTGACAAGTGGCAGAACTGGGTGGGAGAAAGTGCTCTGCCAGATATTGAAATCAATGCAGAAATGAATGGGCAGCCAATGCAAAGTGGCCAGAGTGGCGGAAATACAGTGGTACCTTTTCACCCCTCTAAGAAGTCTGGCCGCTGCATTCTGCACCATCTGAAGTTTCTGCATCAGTCTCAAAGGCAGCCCCATGTAGAACGCATTACAGTAGTATAATCTCAAGGCTAGGAGCGCATTGACCAAAGTGGTGAGTGCCCCCACATCAAGAGAAATGTACGGAATGGACCTCTGATGACACCTGGGTCTCCATGGTGAGCGCCAGGTCCAGATGTACACCCAAACTGCAAACCTCACTCTTGGTGGTAAAAGCCCCTGTCAGCCTCCCTCAATAGGTCATCAAACAGGGTGACCAATGCTGTTTCCATGTTATGGTGCAGCCTGAACCTTAGTGGAATGAATCCAGGGCATTGGTTTCATCCAGAAGAGCCTGCAACAGATCGGCCACCCACCCTCTCGACTACCTTGCTAAAGAAAGAAACATTGGCGATGGGCCTATAATTACCAATATCGTCCACTGTTTTTGTCCAAGCTCATTTTCTTCCTAATGAGCCTAATGAGTGTCTCCTTGAGGAACCCATTCAGATGTTATAGGCCTGGCCGGGCAAGGGTCAAGGGAGGAGGTGGTGGCACAATAGTGGTCAAGCACTCTGTCCACCATGTCTGACATCACAGGCTGAAAGTGGTTAAGTCTCATAAGGCAAGACGGAGGGCTGAACGTCTCTGTTTGATCCACTGTTTTCAAATAGGGCGTAAGATTTTTAAAAAGCTGCAAATTGGTCAGGTGAGATGTTGCTAGTGGGAGGCCAGTCACTATGACCAACTCTGGATAGATTGCGTAGTACACAGAAAAGTTCTGCCTGCTGGTTGGAGGCTTCGATTATCTGAACGAAGCAAGATCGATTAGCAGCCTTCACCTTAGATTGGTAAAGGTTTGTTATGATCCTGACAGCTATTTGGTTATTTTCCGTCGGGTTCTGCCTCCATATATGCTCTAGCCTTCTCCTATTTTTCTTCAATGATCACAGCTCTGGGTTACACCAGGGTGAAGGGTGATCTCTGCGCCAGAGAGGGTGTTTAGGTGTGATCGTGTGAGCAGCTCTGGTGGTGGCGGCAAGCCAGCTATCAACCAGAGCCAGTCAAATGGGCCAGAATCCCTCTCATGGTATCGTGGAATCCTATAGGATCCAATAACTTTCGAGGGTGAATCATTAAAACAGGCCCTTGCTCCCTGTGGGGAGGGAGAGCCACTGTAAGGTTGCATTTAATCAGGCGGTGATCCGACCATGTCAAGGGGACTGACACTAGGTCAGTCACCATCAGAGCACACTCACTCTGTTCAGTGGAGAACACAAGGTCCAATGTGCGGCCACCCACGTGAGTGGGGCTGTTGACATGTTCGGGCATGTCCAAGGAAGTCATGGTCTCCAAGAACTCAAGAGCTGGACTGGAAATTTCTGCCTCCGCATGCATGTTGAAGTCACCTAAGACCAGAAACCTCAGGGACCTCAACAGTGCTGCAGAGATTAAGTCTGCCAGCTCTGGTAAGGAAATGGCCGGGTTGCAGGTAGTGCGGCAACCCAGCAAGATCCCTATACCACCCCTGACCCCAATCGACACATGGAGAACCTCTAGACCTGACATCACCAGAGCAGAGCACCTAGCAACCTCAAGGGTGCTTTTGTAGACAATGGCAACTCCCCCCCCGCCCGCCGCTCCAGTCTACCCTGGTGTTGGACTGCATAACTGGGAGGGCAGGCAAGAGTCAGGGGAACATCCCCTTCCCTGCCCATCCATGTTTTGGTTATGCATGCCAGATCTGCATCCTACTCCAGAATTAGATCTTGTATAAACTGGGATTTATGTGATACAGATCTGGCATTCAACAACACCAGGTTTAGAGTGGAGGGCCAGCTGAGTTGACTACCTTGAGTCTGGCAGGAGGTCACAGTGCCAGAACAGTCCACAGGTTTCAAGCATCCGTTCACCATTCTTCTGGAATGAATGTCAGCTGCACCTACACCATATCTCCCTCTGCCAGAAATCTCTCTGATGTTGTAAAGACCCCCTCTGGGTCTTTTTAAGATTCCATGCCAACCAGGAAAGAAACCAAAAAAATTAACAACTAAAGAACAGCCGATAATTAGTAGCAGGATAAACAAACAAATCAAACAAAATAAACCATAACATAATAAACGCAATAAAATCCAGATTAATCAGACATCAATAACAATATACATAAACAAATCAAACAATTAACAAACACAGTGTTGTGCAAAAAGAAAGCAATGTAACTATAACTCATACAAAATTGTGCAAAAAGAAAGCAATTTAAAGAAAGTTAAACAAAATAGTAATAATAAAAGAGCATTGGCAAAGAGTCCCCCCATCACCCCTCCCTCCCCACTGCACTTAGATAACAGGGACTTTGCTTCCTCCAGCTAGCCAAGAGAAAGAGTGTAATTGAATAGAATTGCTGGCTTTAATGTCTCTCCTCCTCCTGATGTTGTTGATGGATGGCAGAGATGGAATGGCCTGCCCTCTCCAAGGGCCTGTCGTTAGAACCACAGCACCACAACTCTCCAGAAGGCAATGGACGAGATTCATTTGAATATCTGCCAGAAGAGCCAGGAAAAGAAGCAGGAGTAACAGCAGCTGAAACCAGGGTAATCTCTGAGAGAAGGACAACAATCGCACCCCCAGGGGATGACTGCTGCGAGAGGAAAAAGCCACCCAGGGCAAACACAATACCCTCACAATGGGGCCAGCCACCATCAGTGTTGCTTTGGCATCCTTAGCAACCACAGTTCCCCTCAGTTCCAACACGTTACCAGGAAGTTCCACAGTGGTCAATGTTCAAATCACCACCAGAATCACTACATTCCCAAGATGCAATCCAAACCTCCACAGTAAAAGCTGTATCTCACTACCACAGGGAAAACGCCCATATTCGGGAGCAGGGAGATCATCCGCCATTCCTTGAGACCACAGCAACCCAGCGGCAAAGCAGTAAGTCTGTTCAAGGACTTCTATCTTCAGCAGGCAAAGCCCAGGCAAGCAGGAGGGGTCAGGGAGGGAATGAGAATCCTGAAAGCAGAACGCAGAACTCAAAAGAGAGGGTAAAACCCCACAAAGACCACAAAGAGACACACGAAAGTGGCTTGAAACAAAAACTAACTAACTTAAAACTCGGTATAACTAAAGCTGGAGTACAATAAAGTTGAAGC